ATTTCCATGTTATCATCCATCATTTCCGAATCCGCTGGTTTCAAGCCGTGCTAATCCGGCGGCGCCAAAGATCTCTCGATTTCAATATTTCCATCAAAATAGCTATGAACTTAAGATTGAATCCCCATTGTCTACATGATCTATGATCTGATTTGGATGTGGAGATTCCTGCCTTTTTTCCCACCAATGATTGTTGATCATTATCAATTTTCCCATCAAATCTATCATTTTCGATAAAACGCTTCTATGAATCCCATGAACCTCCTTATGTTTTGACCGTGTTTTCCCATGTTTCCATGTCATCAAGGCCCTATGGAGATGACATCCATGACATCCCTCCGCCAGGACTACTCCGACTACTCGGAGGACACGCCGTCTCCGCGGCGGCGGAGGCGGAGGCGAAGGAGGCGACGACGGCGACGACCCAGTCCCAGCTACTCCAGGCACCGTAAAAAAAGAGATCCAAACGGAGAAAAACTGCTGGATTTTGATTGGATTCTGATTGGATTTTGATCGGATATTGATGGGGCTATGATGGGTATTGATCGGATTATGATTATTTGATGGATAACACCGGTATATATATATACACTTTGGAAGACATTTTGGGTTTGACAATGCGAATTACCACACCTTTTTGCCACAGAAATGCTTTGCTGGAAATTCACCAGCATTCGGCCGAAAGGGTTGTGAAATCATCGAAATCCAAACAACATCCCAACATCATAGCAATCGGACAAATTGCGATTAGCAACAGCACGCAAAAATACAAAATATCAATGAAGTTTGAACAAAGCAAAATTGCAAGAATCCAATCATACCACAACCTAACTATGTTGACTATGTTGAATCTGTTTGTTTCCTTAGAAGACATCTTGGAGCAGCCCCATTGGAAATGCCGCACTATGGATTGGGGGTCCGCCTCTACAAAATTGAAGCCGTTTAAGCCTTGAACTTGGCGCTAAAAAATCCCGGCCTCAGAAGCAGAATGCACCATGATTGAAAGTTTTGGAGCCTTGGCAAGACAATAATTTGCAGCCCCGAGGCAAAAAAGACATAGAGTGAAAAAGCCAAGTCTTGACTTGACCCCTTTTTTGGCGTGAGAGCCATCCCGATGTTCTGGCCAATCTGATGCTAACAAAGCTTAAGTTTGGGAAGCGTTTTTTTCTTTGGTGTCGTTATTTTTCAAAATGAGTTTCCCTTTTTGGAACCTTCAGAACCTTTTCTAAGTTTATGCCATTCTCATAGGGGATATGATCTTTTCAAGAGAGCTGTGATTGATCCATTTTGTGAAGGCCATCCTTGTTGGCGCCATGATCTTGCTTCAAAACAGGTTCCAACTTTGGAGCCTTTTGGAACCTTTTGGGCCATTGTCTTTGTAACAGGCTTCCATTTTGGGAACAATTTGTTCTCTGATGGAATCCCTAAGGGGCCCACCTTTTTCCAACACTTTCGAAGTGCAGATTCCGTCGCGCCAAGGAGGGAGACCTGATCCAGCCCATATGTGTCCATATACATCCATATCATCTATGTGATCATTATTGATAATTGTAATGATTTATAACGATTTATGATAGATTTGCGGTGGGGCTACCATGTAATTCGGTATCCAACCATGATCCAACCATGATGCATCCCAGCAATGGGCCATGACCCACTGGCAGGTCAGATAGCTACACTCCCTCGCGGGAGGCCAGTCGCCGGCGCCGTGGTCGCAGAAAAAGAAAACGCCGAGAGGACCTAGAAAGACATGGCCATGGTCAGCATGACATGGTCAGTGGCGGTATTTGACCATGGCAAAATGTGGCAGCTTGAAATGTGCTTCAAAATATGATATCATTGAAGCTGTAGCATTCTGTTATAAAGAAACCGAACATTGAGTAAAGAAACCGTTCTTCTTTTGTCGAGCTGTAGTCAGTTGAGTCGGTTGAGCTGACAAGTTTCAACCGACTCAACCGACTCAACTGACTCAACATCTAACGCAACGCTTGGCAGGACAAAGAGAAGTTGAACGTCACGTCCGAAATCGATCGCTTCGTGCGTGTGCCTTGGCTTCAACAGCTTCAACAGCTTCAACGTTTACCGGTGGTGGATGTTGACCATTCTGTCTGTTTCATTTTTGAAGTCCAGGAAAATCCCTATCAGATTATCATCTCAATATCATCCAACAGATTTATCAACACATTTATCATCCAATCAACATCCATCCAACAAGAGGAACGCCATAGAATGCCAAAGGCCATAGAATGCCAAATTTATTCAACATCTTCCACCCATTTTCCACCCATCTTCCATCCATTTTAGGTGAACAAATTGGAGGAACGCTGCGAGAAGATCCTCCGAGATTTGGACGCGCCGTTGGCATTCAAGGTGCGGGATGGGATGGAAAACCCATGGAAAACCCATGGAAAACTTATGGAAAATTGGGATATTCATGGGTATATTCTTGAGGATATATAAGAAATTAAGAGAATATGATTGAATGATAAAATCTACCAACAAAAAATCACTGGGATGTTGGAGGATTAGTTTTTTTTTACAGGTTTTATTGCGCTTGACAAGAACCTATGAGCCATTCTGACACATCCGATCCATCTTACTCTACCAAAAAGAATGAGTCACCCTACTTCAACATGACTCATATCATCTAATTTTAGCAGATATATCTCATATATCTCATATACCATCATATACCCACCTTGGTATCATCATATTTTCTCATCATATTTTTCATATTTTTTTACGGTTTTTCATGTTCTCATCTCATGTTTTCCCATGGTTTGCCCATGGTTTCCTCGAGGTCATGGGCCTCTCGGGCGGCACCAACACCTTCGAACTCAGCGGCGACGTGCGCGACCCCACGGCCGTGGTGCTGGCGCGGATCCGCAAGGCGCAGTTCGCTGCTGGGCTCGATGGGAAAACGGGGGAAAATCGGGGGGAAAATAGGGGAAATCCCTTGAGAAATGATGGATGATATATGGAGGATATGAAGGATATGGAGGATATGGAAAAGATGGAGGAGGATTATATGAATGATGTGGATAGATGATGGATGGAGATTGGATAATGCTGTTTTCTGGCGTGATTGGAATATGCTTGGAGAACTTGCAGATGATTGATTCATTAGAAATTGCTGCTTTTGGATTGGAAATGCATTGATGCGGTTGACCAACCTTTGTTTCTGATTGGCGATTTCGCGGGTGGATTCCTAGAGTTGGTTCATTCCTGTCGGTTCCTTCGGTAGATCAATTGCATTGTGATATTGGGATATTGCTCATGTCCTACTATATCTCTCCATTTTTTCTGGCATATGAATAATTTGGAATCTCAGACATGCTTTTTAGTATCTATGGTTTGCTATCTGCTATCATTAAGAAGTCAGATATCATAAAAACTATTTTTTCGATTTTCATTAAGAAATTGGATTTCTAATTTAGGGTTTCCTATCAGTAGGCCACAAACTTTCGAATCAACTGTCATAGTTTCATTGGCTCAACGATCCAAGGCTCGAGACGTTCAGCCACAAGGGAATCGCCGTCGAAGGAGATCCAGCTCTAGAAGTGCCTTGGTATTGAAAATGCCATGGAGAATGCGTTAAAATGGTTGTTTAACATCATTTAGTAATATTTAATTTGATTTAACCATGGTTTAATATGGTTTAGCACTGGTGCTGGTAAGTGGAAATAAAAAGAGAGACCCCCAAGAGTATGATAAGATGATGGGAATGGGGTCCCAAAGTCTATGGATATGGGCTTTAACCTTGTTTTTCACCATGAAAAAATATGGGGCTATAATTGACAGACTCCAGTTGGTTGATGATGGGGGGTTGGGGGATTTTTGTCCATGGTGTTCCGTTTGTTCCCAGGATTCGGGTCTCAATACCATGTTGAAACTGGGGGTATGAAGAGATGACCAAAAATTAGACCATTTGGCGAACACACATTCTTTACAAAAATGCAGACGGTATTGCATGGTGCATTTTCCAGAACAGATTTGAACAGATCCTAAAAAAGTGGGTGTCAAAATTGAGGAGACAATATCAGTGGAGCCCATCACTGTGTCTTTTTCATGGATCCTGGGGAAACCAAGGTCGCTAGCTACGACACGAGGCAAAGAGATTTGCTGTTGGATGGCTGTTGATATGGAGAGTGATTGATGATTCTTTATTTCAAATATCTCAAAGATATGAACACAGATTTTATCCCATCGATGTTTTCACTTTTTGCTTTCAATTGTGAAGAAAGGATGAGTATCTGATCCGATTCTACTTTCACTGGTTGTTTTGTTTCAGACTGTTTAAGTAAGACCAAGTAAGACCTATAGAGCCACGGTAGGTTCATCATGTCTTCATGTCTTCATCATGTTTTCAAGCAACTTGCCAGGTCTCTCCATCTCTGCGCCACGCAGTGTATCTCTGATGAAAAGAGAAAAGAGGGCGCGTGATAAAGACACGGGGCACAGCGGGTACAAGTTCGATCTGCGATGATTTTCATCCATTGAAGATTTTTGAATCTGATGAATCTGATGAATCTGATGAACTCATTAGCCATTTAACATCATGTTGGATGTCACTCCCAAAAAAAGAATTCAGATGATTCAGGGAGAGATTTCAAGGCGTAGCTAGGGTGAATAAAAAAGTGATGTAGTGATGTAGCTAGGGTTAGTGAAGGCTGACTTGGTTCATCCTGGTTCAAGGCGGCTGGGCACCCCCTTGGGGCTTTTCCCTTGGGGCCCCAGTTGTCACTCACGCCATCCAAATTTAGCACTGCCCCACAGGGCTTCCATTTCAGGCCAGGCTGATCAGTCACACACTCTTTGAGTCTTTGGCTCTGCTTGGGGAGAAACCACCTTGAACATCTTTCAACCATCAGCTTGGTTGAAACGGTTGAAGTCCTTCTGTTTCACGAAGTTTCATATGTTTCGCATATCTGCGGCATTGACTTTTTCCTCCCAACTTGTTCAGTGATCAGATATCAGGCTGCTCCATGCCAGAAGAGGGCGAGGGAGGCGCTTCGCCTGATTCCATTCGATTCCATTCAATTCCATTCGATCCAGGCGACATGTCTTGCGTGTCTTCGGTGTCTCGGCCAATTTCGGGATGGTATCGGTGTGAGGCAAGGATGTTGCTGAAAAGGAAGAGGAAGGAGGCTGCAAAAAGTGCTGCTTCGCTTTCCTGGACTGCATGGCCAGGGCACCCAGGGCCCAAGAGAAACACCAAACACATCGATGTCAAGCCAGGTTCATGAGGGTTTTTGTTTTGACAACAGGTAGTATAAAGAACACCCAATATCTAGAGGATCATATGATTCATATGGGAATCATATCACACATATACGCATAACAACTATACGTATATATAGGCTATACACCAGCTTTTCTTATATAATATATTGTTACATACATAGATGTCATGATATTAGTGACCCAACCATGTGACAAGTTGTGTCAAGCGATGCTGCTCCACGAGGCCATGATCATCACCTCCATCATCGCCTGTTGTTCTGCCTGTTGGCGCGTCACCAAGGAGTATGCCATCTACCCAGTTCTACCCAGTGACCACTAAAGATCAGATAGATGATTTGCACATTTGATGACTTTATATGATTTTATGATGCAACAAACGGCAGAAATGGATGATCGTCAATCTTATTCTGATCTCTTCGCTTTGGATTTTTCATTGTTTACCATTGCTAGCATTGCATAGCTGTCAACATTTTTTCTCCAATTAGTCAGTGAATTAGTCGGTGAATTAGTTTGATTTTGTCATATGTAGTTGTTTTATTGTCTTGGATTATGTCATGTTTTTGTAATGTTTTTTAGGCCATCTACCCCGTGAAGCAAAGTCTGGTGGACACCTTTGACAGCGTCCAAGAGACGCTCTTCCCCTACAAGCAGGGCGTCAAGGCCGCGACCACGGCCTTCATGACGTTCACGACGTTCACGATGTTCACGATGTTCACGATGTGTCTTAACAAACGAGGGTTTTCACCACTGGGATGATGCATGGTGATACCCTGATACCCATAGTTACAACATAACATGACATGGGTGACATGGTTCATATCAACGTGCATCAATGGTGAGACAGGTGTTTCAACATGTCTTAACATCATGGCTATGAAAAAACATGACATCCTGGTCTCCATTGGGTCTCCATTGGGTCTCCATTGGGTCTCCATTGGGTCTCCATTGGGTCTCCATTGGGTCTCCATTGGGTCTCCATTGGGTCTCCATTGGTCCATGAGTCTCTCTTTTTTGAAGCTTTTTGACCTCGGCGACGCTGCCAGGTACCTTATAGCTACACCGAGGCCGGAGATGGGATCCGGGGTTGGCACTTTCTGCACTTTCTCAGCCTCTCCGCGTCGCAGGTACCCAGCTTCAAATTCCCTTGATGCGACAGCAAAAGCAATGCGATCAAAAGAGTGCGTCGCAATTGCACTGGTTGACTGCAGGTTGCCTGCAGGTTGCGGCCTTGGGTACAGTTTAATAAGTTTTTAGCATGGCACCTGTACAGACAGAAGACGGCAACTAAGACAGCAACTGGTTGGCGCACTGCAAAGCATGACAGATATTGACAGATTGTGGCCGTGCTTGCGTTTGGCTCAGGGCACAGATCAAGATTGCACAATCGAAACATCGAAACGCACAGCTTCAGATCGTGGCAGATCTTGGCAGATAGTGGCAGAGTTTATGGTACAGATGGTGCAGTTAAACCTTTGACTTTCAACGATTTCCGATTTCCAGACCATTTTGATCCGTTTTTCATCTTTTTCCGCGATTTTGTCGACCTTCACGGGTCCAGGCCAGGGCCGTTTCCAGATTACGAAGCTCACTGAGCGGCGTGCCAGGATGAGTGACGATGATTGGCTCACAGATCGCACAGCAGCGGGCAGCCAGTCTACGAGCAATGCTGATGGTGGCACTCAAAAAGTGGTTGCACCGGACCTGGAAACGAAACGAGGGAAATACGTTTGAAATTAACGTTTGAAACAGAAGAGACAAAATCGAGAAACCAAGAGAAACTGCAGTGCACTCTACATGTTTTAAGATGTTCGGAACATGTTTTCATTTGTGTAAGCATGATCCTTTCATGTAAACATGTTCATCTCTGCCTTTCAGATCTTTCAGTCGATGCCAGTTCAAGGCACCGCCAAAGCTGCTGCTACGGCCAAAGCCAGAAGAGACCTCCACCAACTCTGAGAAGGCTCCGGCGGCTCCGGCGGCTCCGGTTTCGGGTTTAGTTAGGTCCTTAAGTTATGTTCGGTTAGTTTCACAGCAGTTTCACACCATTCTGGCAACATTGGGTTTGGACATGTTTGGGCCTAAGAATGAACATGATTCTCAAGTTATGGCCATAATATAAAAGACCTTAAAAGATGCTGAATCAGTGAGTGAATGATCGAGAGATAGTGTGGTAAACCCAATTTTCGAACCAGGTGACGGATGGAGAATGGGGATTTCTATTGGGCACTGATGACGACCGCAGGTTGAGAAGCCTGCGCCGAAGACATTGAAGCAGAAGGCCATGGCCCTTGGTGGATCGCCAGAGTTTTCATCAGTTTTGTCATTTTTATGCGAAGATATCAGAAGATATTCGGCTTTATTCAGCTTTTGGATTCAGATTCAGATCATGCCACTTCCATGACTTCCATGGCGCCATGGCGCGCCAAGGAAGCAGAATATGCTGCTGCCAGAGCTCGCATTTTCGGCTATTCCGCCAATGGCGGCCCCTTGGATCAAGCGGACACCAGTGAACAAGTGACAGGAAAAAAATGGAAAAAGAACACCAAAAGGAAAGAACACGAGAATTGCAACAGACTGCAGGAACCGGACGAGGCCGTGGCCGGGCGAGTCAAGGTAGAGGCGTGGCCGCAGATGGTGGATGTAGCCTTTGCGGATCAGCTCAAATATGATGAAATGATCGAAATGTATGAAATGTATGATGAAATGGTGGATTTCCCCCAAATTCATGGGCCATGTCAGGGGAAGCATGATATACTCATGGTATACTGATGATTTTGGATGGCGTGAGAAAAATCTGTTGGGGTAAAACCTATTTTGAGGCAAAGCCGCCGTACTTTCTGCATGGTTCTGGATGTGTTTATGACGCATTGATTCCAGGGCAATCTCGAGCACAGCAGAACAATACCTCAGCCATGGGCCTCAGCGCAGTTTGGATTTGATCTGGTGAACTGCTTTCGGTATCCTTCGGTTGGTTTGGTGGTCTGGCCCGGGACATTGAGGAGAGGAAACCGCGTGTTGATGCCCATGATCCTGTCAGCTTCCCAAGTGGCAACATTTGATGTACAAAAGATGCGGATTTTGCGAGTGCGATGCTCACATTCACTTTGGGCAGGATTACGACCGCAATCCACATCGATATGTCGGAAACCAAGGCCGCAGAGCAAAAACAGCCATATCTCTGTATATATATATATATTATCTATATTATGTATATATATATATTATATTATGTATATATATTATCTATATATGGTATAAGTTGTAGATGTGTAATTGATATATCAGTTGACAATAGTTCCATAATCGCAATCCGACTGGCAGTCGATTTGGTGTTCGGCTGCATGGTGCTGAGGCACCACGGTTGGTTCCTGGAAACGAGTACGGCACCACAGGATTCTGAAATTCTGAGATTCTGAATAGAGATAAGCGCCTCGGACGCTCGGTCCGAATGTCATCCCATCAGGTCGCACGGTCCCAGTTCGAGGCAGGGAATTGAACTCCGGTAAACAGCTTCGAAATGCACACGTTTGAAACAGAGCACTAGAGGCATCCAAAAATGCAGCCATGTGCAGACGGGTACTGCTTAGATCTGCTTAGTACTGGGACGGAACTCTTAGAGTCTTAGAGAAGCATATGAAACATGAGCCCAGAACGGAATGGTGATGTCATGTGATGACTTTGACTGGCCTGGTGTTCGTCCTCTCCAAAGGTACATACCTCCCACGTATGAGACTGAATTCCCATCTTTGTGAGTTCACTTCAAATCAGCGGCCCATGCGGCCCCAGCGATCAATAGTTCTACAGTTCCAGCACGAGACTAAGATGGCATGTTGCTTTAAAGATCTTTAAAACAACAGGAACGAATTTTCATCGTTCTAAACTTATACGTGATCAAGATGCGCGTTGAATCAGCCAGTTTTGGGCTTCGGAATGAGACCGCTGCGTCAAAGATTTGTTGTGGGGTCAGGAATTCGACTCTGGCTGCAAAATGCAAGCCATATGCACTGTGTTGGGACAGGGCAAAGTCGGCAAAAAGCGCAGATCTCAATTTATGTGATTCAAGAAGAGGAAATTCATAGGGCTTGCCCCGGCTTGGCCATGAAATCGAAGCATTCAGCGCCTGGCAATGCGGTTCAATATGGTGTAACGCAAGGTTTGGGATGAAACTCATGGATGAACATTGAGTGAGACCTGGCACGGGCCAAAACCCTTCCCGAAGTTGTCGACAGGTCTCAGCTTTGAAGATTTTGGCTCAGCTGACTAGAACAGTTGGCATGCATTCTTGCACGTGTCGTGACATCTCGTGACTACCGGAAGCGCGATGCCACCTTCGATGTTTGTCACGTTTGTCGCGGTTGCGTTGCTGGCCTTGCTGGCTGTTGCTTCGGCCGAGTGTGACGGCTTGGAGTGTGACGCCGAGGACGCTCACATGGTCCAGGTCTTTGGCAGGCGCGAGTCCGATTCCGTGAGTCGCCTGAGGGATCCGGCTTTTTCGCGATTGGTGCCAAATGTAGCTTGGGAAGGAATATAGAAACAGCAAATTTCAACAAAACATGCTCAATATTTTGTAATCACATCAAGCATCCAAGCGTTCGTGCAGGAAGTTGAACAGCAAGCGGCTCGGGAGTTGTCGCGCTGAGGACCAAGCGGCTGGGCCTCGATGCGTCCATCACTTGCCATCGATTCAAATCGGATCTAATCGGATCTAATCGGCCACCCCCTTGACCATCCTTGACCATCCTTGACCCTTGATGATTTTGATTTCGTCTGAGGTCAGATGGCCATGCGGAACTCCTGTGGTGAGCTCCTTTGCCTTGCAGGTGGTCAACAATGACACAAGCTCAAGCAATTGCGCCGCGGACAATGTTGCGTCGCTTGCTTCAAAATTGCAGGCCCATCCAAGCCCCTGATTCTGGAAATTGTCTGAAAACCTCTCACAATCCATACAAAACTGTTCTCTCTAGATACATCCGCGTTGCTGCTGAGGACTATCAGCGCGCTGAACATCGACACTGGTGATTATGCAAGTATTTGCCAGCTCCCAGAGGGCATTTGTGTGAATGCTTGCGGCATTGACCCCACCTCGAATCTCGCATTCTGTGTCTCCCGGCCAGGGGATTTGAATCTGCTGCGGATTGATTGTGATTTCACTGGCAAGCTTGCAGAGCTGCAAGCAAGGTCTGATGCAGGCACTCTCAGTACCTTGGCAGTTTCAGTCTCGCCCTGTCATATCGTGTCATTGTGTATAGTGGGGCTGTGACGGTGCCACTATGTGCCATTGGAACTCAGCAATCTCATCAACAAAAATGTCGGATTTGGTGTTTCTTAGATTTTTTGAGTTGCTATCCTGGCTATCCTTGTCGCTTAACTTATGGTTAGGGCGCTGAACCCATCTGAGGCTCGTTCACACCAGTGGCGGGAGATGTCTGCTTCTACGGACTCGTTGCAAACACCATGCAAGGAGCCTTCGATGCCAGTGGAAATTTCTGGTGCTGGGCTCACAAACAGGAAATTCATGCCATGTCCAGTTCAGGGCTTACCCAAAGCAGGCAAAATCTCAGAAAAGCTAAGAACCATATAGAAGCATGACACCCTATTTTTTCAGGAAGCATCGCTAGAGGTTTCTTGCGCACAACTGCCCCAACCCTCTGAAGCTTTAACCATCTTTAACCTCATGTTCATGACATGTAGGGCGCGCTGGGTTGCGCAAATGTGCTCCTTAGCTTGGGGCCCCTTGTCCCGGCCACGGTGGTTTGTTGTGAAATTCCTTCGTTATCGACCGGGGGTCAGCGCAGCCAACAAGACCCTGGGGTATCTTGCCATGCCCTGTGCGCATCGCTTTTTGTTGCCGTGGATGCCAAGTTGTGTTGACTGTTTTCTTGCGCAAGTGCACCACGCGAACCGGGATCATCCGGGATCATCCGGGATCATCCGGGATCATCCTGGATCATCCGGGATCTGTACCCCGCTATGCACAGATTTAGCTGCAACACCAAGACGTAGCTCATGCAAGCTCTGTGCTCAGTTTTGTTTCTTTCAGCCTGCAGCTGCATGCTGTAAACCCCCGCATCCCGCATTTTGTACTGAACCATGACCATGACAAGTTTTTACATTTGGTGGACAGAAGAAATCCCGGGCCCCCGCCAAAACTAACGAGTCAACCTGCAGGTCTTGCAAAGCTTTTGATTAACGTACGCTGGATTCTGTTGATGTGTTGTCACCTATACATATTCAAGCTTTTGATGTTTGCTGTTGAATTTGCGCCCATAGGTATTTTGTGTCGCAAAAAAGGTGCTGAATAGCCGTCATCAAACAGAAACAGCGCTTCAAAGTCCAAGATCTCTGCAGCGATGGTCTGCCAATCTCTCAGGTTCTTGCGGAGCACTGGGAGGGTCTACCAGATCACCGATGCGACAATCGGAATGCTGTCCGGCGCGGCGAATCCAACCGTGCCGCCAAGCCCACCAATACAAGGACTGCGAGTTGGTTTTGGACATGCTTACGTTTCCTGCGCTGCGGGTTGCTGCGGTTCGAGATGATTTCTACCTTGAGCCGTCATCCACGTAACAGATATTATACAGCTTTTGGCGTTGTGATACTAGGCCCACTAGGCCTTGGAGTGTTGTGTGCTCTTGGGGGTCTAGCTGTTTGTCTGCAAAAGTTGCAAAGCTTCACGAGCCTTGTGGAGGAGCCGTTGCCGGTCAGGAATTTCTGATCTCTGCTGTTAACGTCGGCAACGTCGTGCCTCTGACGAACCGGTGACGTGTGCTGTTGTTGGGCAGCAAGCTTGCTGCGGGCATTATGTTCATGCATTAATCCGGTTAATCGCAAAACAAATAGGAACAAACTGATGCTTTATTTGCTAGGGGCATCCGCCCTCATGTGTTGCTCTTGCATGGACCCTGGGGCTGGCCATTGGCAACAAGCATTTGGGTTTCGCACAGCATATGGAACAAATGACAGGGTCGCTATGGTCCCGACCCCGGTTCTAGGGCACTTGGAAATGGAGGTCTATTTTTTTCGTTTTTTTTGTTTTCAAGCCTGGTTTTTGTGGCTTTTGTGGCTTTTGTGGCTTCTGTGGCTTCTGTGGGTGTGTGGCTTTTGTGGCTTGACCATGCTTTACCTATCTTCTAATCTAACATAATCTAACCTAATCTAACCTAATTTAATCTAATCTTATCTTATCTAATCTTATCTCATTTTATCTTGTTTTATCTTGTTTTTTCTTGCTTGATCTTATCTATCTTATCTATCTAATCTATCTAACCTATATAATCTATCTAACCTATCCAACCTATCTAATCTATCTAATCTATCTAATCGATCAAATCTATCAAATCTATCTAATCAATCTAATTTAATCTATCTAATCTAATCTTTCTAACGTATCTATTAATCTATCTATTTAGTCTATCTATTTAACATGTCTATTTAATCTACCTCTTTAATCTGTCCATTTTATCTGTCTATTTAACCTGTCTGTTTAATCTATCTATTTAATCTATCTATTTAATCTATCTATCTAATTTATCTTTTTAATCTATCTATTTAACCTATCTATTTAACCTAATCTAATCTAATCCAACCTAATCTTATCTAATCTCATCTAACCTAGTCTAATCAAATCTATCGAATCTATCTAATCTATCTAATCGATCTAATCGATCTAATCTAGCTAATCTATCTAATCTATCTAATCTATCTAATCTATCTAATCTATCTAAGCTATCTAATCTATCGAATCTATCTAATCGATCTAATCTATATATCTAATCTATATATCTAATCTACTTATCTATCTAATCTATCTAATCTATCTAATTTATCTAAGCTATCTAATCTATCTAATCTACCTATTCTATCTAATCTATCAATCTAGCAATCTATCAATCTATCTAGCTATCCATCCATCTATCTATCGATCTTTATAAACACACCTTGTATCCCTACATGTACCTTAATCCAACCCTCAACAGACTTTAATCCGACCATAAATCAACCCTAAATAACCATAAATAGCCCTAAACAACCCTAAATTACCATAAGCCAACCATAAACCAACCCAACATAACCCTCCCTAAATAAACCCTAAACCAACCCGAAACTGAATAACCCTAAGCCAACCCTAAATAAACTTTAGACTAACCCTAAATAAACCATAAACCGAAACCCTAAACAAACCCTAAACCAACCCTAAATAACCCTAAATAACCCTAAATAAGCCCTATATAAACAAATTTTAAATAAACCGTAAACCAACCCTAAATAAACCCTAACCCAACCCTAAATAAACCTTAAACCAACTCTAAAGCAAGCCTAAATAAACCCTAAACCAAGCCTAAATAAACCCTAAACAAACTTTAAATACACCGTAAACCAACCCTAAATAAACCCAAACCCAACCCTAACTAAATTTAAACCAACCCTAAATAACCCGAAATAACCCTAAACCAACCGTAAATAAACACTAACCCCAACCCTAAATAAACCCTCAACAAACCCTAAACCAAGCCTAAATAGACCCCAAACCAACCCTAAATAAACCCTAAGCAAACACCAAATAAACCCTAAACCAGACTTAAACATAACCTAAATGACCCTAAACCAACCCTAAACCAACCCTAACTAAATTTAAGCCAACCCTAAATCACGAAAGGTAGCGTCAGCTACCTGAGTTCTCCGTGCTTCAGCACAATCATAGGGGGTATTGGGGGGCCAGCCCGGGCTAAACGAGGAATTCTCGCCGTTATGTATTGGATATCAATTATAAGGGGGGGGGTGAAGAGGGGCCCTAGCGTCTACTTCAAGATCAGCTAAGGCGTCTTCCCCAATGACAGCACTCTTTTACTCAGCCTGTTGCCGGTCAGTGCTATGTCTACAGGGTTACTCTATATACCTCTTGAGCCTTGAAGGGGCGCATATAAATGTGCTCAATACTCATGCATAATACCTGGTAGGTATTAGGTCGAAACAAAAACACAGGCACAAATTCAAAAGCAATGAGTAGAGCACTACGCCTTGTCGTACTCAATCAGTATTAAGAGTATCTTCCTGTTTTCTCTACACAATGGCAAATAGCAAAAATAAACCGGAGTTACGCAGTGGCTTCGAATTGAAAAACACGTGAAAGCAGCGAATGTCCTAAAGACATGCCGAAAAAGAACAGCGGATTCGCTAATTTTTCCAGTAGCGACCAATGGTGCTTCGCGCACGGTCTCTCCACAGGCAAAATGCCTCGCTCTACCGGTGAAAGTTCGAATTGAAAAGTTCGGTTCGCAAGATTCAGAAATAATTCCGGTCATACGAAAAACAATTGACCAAATCACGAAATAAACGGAAATAGCGGATCTCCAAAGTTGCTCATTCAAGCAACAATGGACAGAAATCGAAGTTGGTAAATTTTTGGAGTTCGCTCCATTCGGAGTGGTCTGCTCGCAGAAAATTCATGGAGATAAATGTGTATAGTATCTCTATCTACAAGAGTATCTATTTTACATTAAATTGAAATTCAGACACTTGTGGCATTTTCTCTATCTCAAAGAGTATATGCCATTTTTGTGAAAAATAAGTTGATGCACAGAAAAACTGTACACGGCTTCTCATGCTGTGTTATCTTCATCTAAAGAAGTATACACTTTTTCATCGCCACTCACTTTGTCTCCATGGTCTGGACGTAGAAGATGAGGATCCACCCCAACTCATGTTGCCCTGCTGCGTTGATGCCTGATCTTCATATGCCTTTCTCTTTTTCTCCTTCTGTCTTTCCTTCCTGTGTTGAGTATACATCATCTTCTGCATGCCATGCTTGTAATGATGTTTCTCATTCCACGACATATCAGAAGGATCCAAATGCACAAGAATAGGATTATGGGCATCGCGATCGTTTGGAGCAACCATGAAGATATTATGATCACCATGTAAGCAAGTTTCATTTACCTTGAAGTAAAATTCACCCACATAGTTCATGTGATCTTCATCTCCATCAAAGTCTTCTGGGTGTTCCTCACACATCAAACGTGAATGACCCCACTCAACAACTGAAAGCATACAACAATCACCTTTACCATTTGTCTTGTTCATGAGCTCGTCGGTGTATGTTGCTGTTGTAATGCCATCCAAGTGCGTTGCAAGAAAATCCAAGTCACGATAACTGCAAGAAATGAAATGCTTGACCCTGACTGGAGGGCAAGATGAATCAAAATGCTTGCGCATGGCTTGTGTTGCAACACCCATCATTCTGTTGATCCAGAATTGTATGAGGCTGTGTTGATATGTAGGGACACCTGGAGATTTTGGTGTTGTGTAGTAGCATGCCTTGTTTCCATCACCTGCGATGACGTCAACTTGATATCTAGCACACTCAAAAGCCATAACAGCTAAACACTCACCAACAATACCAGGAGAGTCTGATGCATACTTCTGTCCGACGTGATAAACGCACACACGTGTCATCTTCATCCTGCCTCTGGTCAAGTCAACAGTCTCATCTGTATCACGGTTCTTTGTCTTTCCCCAAGATACTTCAAAGATTGCCCATGAGACTTGTCGAACTCATGTGTCGTTTTCGTCTGTCTGATATCCAGCAATTTGCCTGATATATCCTTCCTTTCCGAGGCGAGCTGCCACCATCAAGTCATGATAATCATTGAAGCAAGTTTTAAAGTCAACCTCGTTGAGTCTCTCTCTGTGAGGATACAACGAACCAGCTTCACAATTCATGAAAAGATGTCCTCCAAAGTTCTTGATGACGTTGATGAAGTAATTGTTGAACTGTGTCTTGTTCTCATCAAACCTTAAATGATCTTCATCAATTGTGTAGTCAATGTGTGGAATGAGTTGTTGAAATCTTTCTGGAACTGGGCATTTGTCAAATCTGCTTCTGCACCAGTTTCCCAAATTCCAAAACATGACTGTAATGTGTGGAGAGGATCTGTATGGAAATTCGGCATCCTTGTATGTTGGGTCTGTTAGGCCTCCACCTAAATATCTGTAAGCCAAGCTATGCAAGATCACACAGTAAGGCAAGACCTTGTGGTCCTCAACATAATCTCGAAGTACCTTTGTCAGATTTCCAAAATCGTCATCAATTCTTCGTTCTGCTTCTTTTGAGGCTGCTTCTGCTTTGTTTTGATGAAGAGGATGCAATCTTGGATCACTACAACCATATTCAATATGATTCTTGAGTTCTTCTAGTTCTTGTAGTGGTTGTTGATCCTTATGTCTGGCAATGTACTCCATCATCAACTGGTCATCTGTAAGATGGTACCAAAAATCTTGATGTGCAGACATAGTCTTCCTGTACTTGACATGCCAAAACATGTGTCGATGCTTCGAAGACGCTGGAAAACCTTTGTTGTAAAATCCTGCCCATTCACCATGGTAACCATCTGAAAAACAATCCTTCAATTTTCGAAAAACTGAATCATCTTCGTTTCCAGTGATATCTTGACCATAGTAAAATCGAACTGCAGGTTTCACTTCAGGAGCTGTCTCATCATCTTGAATGTCTGTCTTTTTCTCCCCTGATTCCTCCTTCTCTGAGGAGCGTTCAGGTGGAGCTGATTCCTCTTTCTCAAAAGAGCTTTCAGCTGGGACATGTGGCTCCTTTGTATCTTCTTCTCCTTCTTCTTCTTCGACAACAATCTCCTCTTCTTCATCTTCTTTTTCTTCCTCTTGTCGTTCTTCTTGTTTGACAAAACTATCCTTGATCTTTTGTTGAACATTCTTGTTGCACATACTGA